GAAACCGGAAGTTCTCGAACTTGTAAAAAAAAACTTCGCCCGAGCCCTCAAAGGCTACGGACCAGAGCCGAGGGTTTAGGTACGGACGAGGGTTCAGGGACAACCTCGGACGTGCTTCTTTAAGTTGGGGGTTTGTGTGGTGCCTAGGGCTCGATAAGGGTTCCTACAAGAGTTTCGATGGTGTTTCACAGCAACAGGCACAACGCTAATAATAACTGCAACCGAGCTAGGGCAGTGCACGGGCCTTAAGACTTAGAATAGGGTCTTGGGGGCTTTTTATTATAACGACAGTATAATATACCCTCAAACCCTATTCCAATTAGAGGCGCCACATGAGATTGCTTGCTATTGGCCATAAATCCTTAACCCCAATCCCTAAAACCCGAATCCTTCATCCTTAAACCCTAACCATAGGCCCTAATCCCTAAACCCGAATCCCTTAAACCCTAAACCCTAAACACTAAATTGCAGGATGTGTTCATCAGCCGAAACGGAACCGTGTTCGTACATCTTCAATTTCGCGAGCTTCCCTGTTAACCCGAGACGGTAGAAGCCCTAAAAAGAAATACTGTTAGCTACTATTAGTATTGCTATTTCTATTACGAAGTATGAGTAGTACTACTAATACACATTTCTATTAGTAACTAGTATTAGTATTACTATCAGCCCAGCTGCAGCTCACAACGAGCCCATGCCGGCCGAGAGTAGATTTCGACTTCGTGTCCCCTACGAGGCAAAAAGAATGAGCACACGTCTACTTGGAGGATCATGGGACTTAGAAAGTAAGGTTATAAATAAGGTAACTATACTTATAAGTACATATAACCCCAATTTAGGTACTTATAACCTTACTTACTAAGTCCCAGGATCCCCCAAGTAAACCAGCCCTTCTTACGAAGTCAAAAGAGCCTCCGGTTGGGTTTGGGACTGGGGGCTTTGAGGTCAGGAGTTTGGTCTTCGGGTTCCTCCACATCAGCATGGCCCCGGCCCATACTCGGGAAGACGTTTGAAAACCCTAAACCCTAAGCCCTCTAAAAACCTAAACCCTAAACCCTAGAAGAGACGCTCTTACGGTTTATTTAAGGTTTAGGGTTTAGGGTTTAGGGTTTAGGGTTTGGGTGCAGCCATTCCGCCTTAAAGGCTGAGAGGTTTCGGCCTGGGCCCGAAGAGTTGAAGGGTTAAGGCTTCAGGGCTCGGGGTTGACGGGGGATTCCAGGAAGAACACCTTCTAACCAGAACTAATCATGGGAAACTACAACTCAAACAAACTAGAATATGATTTTGGTGTGTATTAGTTACACTACAAACCTAACACGCAACCCTAAAGAATCATGTAGGCAAGTCTTTAAGCCCCCATGTTGTGGCGGCTTTGGATGTTCAGGTCCCATGGCGATTTCGGCCCTCTCTTGGCGATCGAGGCTCCACAACACGCGCACGCCGCGTCTGCATACTACGGGGCAGCCGCCGCTCCCACACATGGTTGAGGCGTTTTAGTCTAGGGCTGAGGGTTTAGGGCCGTTGGTTGCGGTTTAGGTTAGTTATATATATATATATATATGTGTGTGTGTAAACATAGATATCTGTTTCTGTTTTTGTATATACACACATACAGGTCAGTGTATATGTATCTATGCATGTATGTGCGTGTATGTATGTAGAGGAATGCGGTTTCGGATAAGGGACCCCGACGTGGGAGTTGGGCTTCTAAAAAAGGGAATTTAGACTAGCTGAGTTTGGGTTTCTCTGATACTACGCCAGCATAGGCAACCTGTGCAATCCCTACACGTTGTGGAAGCCCTACGGCTGACGATATAAATCCTGCACTACCCATAACAAGGAATGTACCACAATTCCCATAGTGTAGGGTCATTAAGGTAATGCAAGGTATATATCATCAACCGTATCAACACCATTCACCCAGAGAGCCCAATACCCCTTAATTAAGGAATATGGCTTAAATCATAATATGAATCCCCATTTAATTTAAGCCATACTCCTTAATTAAGGGGTATTGGGCTCTCTGGGCAAGGGGCACGATGACCAAAGCTTGTGGCTTCATGCTCTCGGCCGTCTGGGGTCTTTGGCCGTGCACTCGGTTTAGGGCTTAGGGATTTGGGTTCAGGGATCAGGGTTTACGCTTTAGGGTTCAGGGATTTACGGGTTTAGGGTTAAGGGACTGGGGTTACGTGGTTTAGAGCATTTACGGCGTTAGGGGCAACGTTTGAAGAATTGACAGTGCTTTTTCTTGGCACGCACAGGCTATGAGTCTGATGTTAAAATGCATAGCCCCGTATGCCATATGTCCTACCAGTGCCTGCAACGCGGGACCAGAACAGATCGTAATGCTTCAATCACCACTACTCCGGCTACTCCGGGTCCCTGATTATGCTCTGTGGTTTCGGCTTTTATATGATGAGTGCAGGGTGGTTGTGGGAGCTTTAGAAAAGAAAGGACGCGACCATCAACCCCTGAATAAAGAGATCCTTACTCCCAAGGCTGCTAGACAGAGGATATCAGATTTCAGGGTTCAGGGTTTAGGGTGTGCTCCAGCTAGATTTATGCTTTAAGTGCTGTGGCTTTAGGAGGCTGGGGCGAGACCATCAACCAAGACAGAAGGCAGCCGCCCATGCGAAAATCTCTTGGTGTCGGCGACTTGATGATTAAGTATAGCCGAAAGGCATAAAGTAAAAGCCAGAAAGTTGGAATATGATTATCCTGAACCCTTTATGGTAAATTACAAGGTATCCTACCCTGAAACCATATTCCAACTTTCTGGAGTTCCCTTTACAGGCACACGTTACGACAAGAACTTGTTGTCTACTGTAATCTTTATAGGATATTACAGTCTATAGACATTACTAAAGGAAACTATTGTGTACTGTGGTCTTGTATAGTATATTACAGTGTATAGCATAGCATTGCTTAGTTCAAGAGAGCACGACTGGAAGTGGGCTTGGATTTGCATTGTGCTTAGCAGCCCAGGGAACTTAGTAAGTAGGATATAAGTAGGGTTATAATTGGGGGTAACTCCATTTAGGGTACTTATAACCCTACTTATAACCTACTTACTAAGTCCCCTGGGCCTCCAAGTGCTGGCTACGAGCTCAACATGCTATCAACGGTGCATGACCCAAACCCCACGATAGCCCGACAGCCTCGATCTCCCCAAACCCTAAACCCCAAACCCTAAACCCTAAACCCCAAACCCTAAACCCTAAACTCGACACCCTTTACTCGACACCCTACACTCTCCTGACATTGAGCCCCAAACTCCTTTGATCTCACATTGTACACTGAAGGCCGAAGTGCCCTGTAGGGGCCTTCATAGTTAGAATACAGTTCTTGGGGCCCATGAGACTATATTTATAATAAGGAACCCTTGGCAATTGTGTAGGCTTTTCTAGTTGGAGGCCCAAGGGACTTAGTAAGGAGGTTATAAGTACGGTTATAAGTACCCTAAATGGAGTTAACCCAATTATAACCCCACTTATAACCTACTTTCTAAGTCCCCTGGGCCTCCAAGTAGTAGACTCAGAAGCCCTAAAGCCCTAAACCACACGCTGAACCGACTACGCCCGCCGGCTCAGAGCCGAACGAAGGCTCAAACCTCGCCGAGCTTTGCAATAACTCCGCTAGTATAGAAGCTTATTGTATATATCAAAACAGTACAACATATTATAGTATATTAAGACGCATTAAAGTGTAGCTTATAATCTATTCTGGTACATTTTGGCTTGGGTCCAGAGGATATTTTGGGCTGTTTCTTCGATGGGGTCCAAAGGCAGTTTCATAGACTTTTCTAGTGCTTCGGAAAGAGCCGCAAGGGAGGAATCTTGCGTGTCGGAGGGTTTGGAAAGCGTTCGTACGTTCGGCGTGTAAAAAGGGGCCTCAATAGTTAGAATAGGGTGTTGGGGCCCAGTATACTATAAATATAATAAGGAACCACCCAAAATAGTGTATCTAAGTATAAAGTCCCGTATATTAAAGGAATTAGGGGTTTGCTGTGCAAGGGCTTGTAAGGCTTGGACGAGGGGACTTGGCACATTGCCGCCAAATGCAAAGCAAAACCTCAAATCCTGCAACCCCCAAAACCCAAAAAAGTCTCTCAGACAACCCTGCACCCTAAACCCTACTTGGAGGCTTTGAGCACCTAGCAAGAGGGTTGTACTTGCAGCAGCTCCAATGAGTAAAGATTGCAAGTAGGCCTAAGCAGGGTCAAAGGTTTAGGGGCTCGTACAATTAGTAATCATCGTGAGCAGGCCCTAAGCAGTCCTGAAAGCAGGTTACAAGTAGGGTTGTGGGCAGGATCACCCTAATGCAGATAAAGGTCCCCCGATCCTTCAAGCTAGTCAGCCGACCCTCAACCGTTAACCCCCAAAAAATCCGAAAGCGTACAACCCAAATCCCTTGTACGACCCGTGTAGAACCTTCTTACGCCCGATAAGACATTTTCAACATAAAGCCTCGACACTAAACCCTAAACCGTGAAACCCAAACCTTTCACCGGAAGCAACAGCGCGCCTCCAAGAGCGACCAACAGAACATGATACCTAAACCCTGAACTTCCAAGCCCCAAACCCTAAACTCTGAATCCTAAACCCTAAATCCTTAACCCGAAATCTTCTGAGAATCTCGCAACTGCGGTGGGCCCCTGCCACGGAAACCACTGCGGAGGTTTAGGAGGGGTGTAGGGTTCAGGTTTAGGGTTTTGCAGAAAGCCAAGCTCTGCCCAGGTCAGTTGTGATGCCGCTTACGCTCCGCGGCATGATGCTCATTAGGGTTGGCTACGAAGTAAACCCCTTGGGCTTTGTATGCGCTTGCAGTTGCAACAGACATCAACCATGTACAATTAGATGTCAGAAACTGCCACAAGCTTTTAGCATACAGCAGAGATGTTTCGCGAATAAGGAGAAAAAGAATCGGGAGTCGCCATGGCTTAAGCCGTTTGCTGCATGCCTGGGCTTCCGCAAGAACAGCCAGCACAAGCTGTTCAGCAGGTTATGAGTGCCCAAACGCTCACTGCGGGGCTTGCGAATGGTATTGTGGACCAGGGAGAGCCTGCTCCACAAGGCCAATCAGGAGCAATTGGCTCCGAGCCACTGGCAGCGAGAGTGGCAGGTGAGTACCAGCCGCATGGGATGGGTCAGCAAACTGCGCGTGCAGAGGACCTTGAAGTGCGTGATGAAGCGAGAGCTGGAGATCCACGCCCTGTACCGGAAGCTACAGCTGGACCTACGCAGGCGGTGCCTGGAGCAGTGGCACTGACGACGCAGGATTCAGGTAGACAAGCTGGACTGGAGCAAGTTGGCACAGCTACAATGGCTGATGACTCACCTGGAGTTTTTAGGACGCCAAGGGCAATGATGACGCCTACGACGACGACCCAGCCTCAATGGCTGGCCGGAGTTGAGCCACCGAGATGGCTCACTAGACTGGGCAATATGTTGAATCTGCAGGGACATGGAGCGACTGCCGCGGAATTGGCACCGAGTCCGTTCCCAAGCCGATCCCCAGTTTACACGCCGCCGCCACCAGGCGGACAGGCTTTCAGATTGCGGTCTCCAACAAGGGCGCGGGCGATATCAGCCGCCCCGACACCACCGTCTTCGTCGTCTGTTCCTGCAGAAGCAATCCAGGCAGAAGTTCAAAGACAGCTGCAGGGGATTATGGGACAGCTACGAGAATATGGGGATCGCAATCAGCGCTTGAGCGAAGAGCCGCGTGAGACACAAGAGCGGCTGCGCGAAGCACAAGAGCGTGGTTTTACAATGGGCCAAGGACAAGTACGGCATGAGCGACTTCTAGGGGATCTTGCTACAGCTCAACTAGATCCTGGACGGTTAAGGAGTGTAATCGAATCTCATGGAGCAGTCGCCCCAGTACTTCCTGATTCTATTGGTGAGCTACATGCGGGGGTACCTGTTGCTTCTACAAGAGCCCCGGTTGATCCTGTAGGAAGTGCGCTTCGTGAATCCGTACAACCTAGTGCTTCAGTACCTGGAGGTGAAGGTGGCCCCCGAGTACCCGAAGTACCAGAACAGCCCAGAACCACCAGAATGGAGTATGAACCAATGGGAAGAGATGGTGGTCCTAGTTTGCTACGAACCTGGTGGGGATCAAGGACTAGGGAGACTGCACCACCTCCGAAACCAACGGCTCCAGACGTTCAGGGATCCCCAATGCTAGACGCCTTGACCCGTGGAGTGCAACAACTTCAAGAACTACAAGCACAAGCACTCACAAAGGCATCTTCCCCTACCGCCGCTGAAACTGTGAAGCCAGGTACAGTTTCGCTGACGATGATGCCGGACGTCAAGGAGGGAGCGGACGCCGCCCTTTCGTTCCAGGACTGGCTGGAAGTATCTAACTCGGTGATGTGCGACATTAGCGAGGGATCGTCAGCTTGGTGGGCAGGGATCCTAGAAGGAGTTCAAGACACCTATGCAACATGGCTGTCTGCATCACCGCTGGAGAAGCTCACGATAGAGCCTAAGGATACTGAGAAATGGAGGTCGGGGAAGTGGACAAGGGTCAATGCAAGGGCATCGTCAATGTTGTTGTCTTCTATGCCGGTAGACCTACGAAGTGAAATGGTTTCTCGTCGGTATACACATGATTGCATGAAGATGATGTTCAAGTTGTTCACAGCCTATCAGCCTGGAGGCTCTGCGGAACGACATGATGTGTTGAAAAGATTACAGGCCCCCATCGACTATGCCGGGGGTGACACTTTGGACCACATCTTGAAGACAGTAAGGGCGTGGCCTAGGTGGTTAGAGAGATGCAAGGCGGTACAAATGACGCCCCCAGATCCTTCAGTACTATCTCGGGGACTTCTAGCGCTAACCAGCAAACATATAGAGTCCTCGGCAGATGCAAGCTTCAGAACATCGATGCTGCGGTCAACGCTAAGGCTTGATGCGAGGCCTACGATAGATCAGGTTCAAGCCTATCAGCGACATCTGCAAGCTGAGCTGGAGGTGTTGTCACTGAGTACCTCTTCGGCTGCTTCGTCGACTGCTCCAAGAATAAGGGCAGTGGATACGCTCTTGCAGCCTAAGGCAAGGGACGCTGGGATCAAGGCGGGTGGGAATGCTGAGCTATGTCGATACTTTGCCAAAGCAAGTGGATGCAAGCGTGGGGAGAAGTGTAATTACATGCACAGCTTAAGCCACCTTGATCGAGAGCAGCGTGCTAAAAAATGTCTACGCTGCGGTGCTGAAGGGCATCGCCAAAAGGACTGCCCTGTGGGCCGACCGTCGGGTAAATCACCAGGATCAACACCTACTTCTACCGCCACGGCAACCGCAGCTAGAGAGGCAAGGGGTCCAAAGTATGGACAAGCAGGTCCTCCGGAAAAACCTGCGGTTCAAAGCGCTGCTCCAGTATCGGAGGCTCCGCTACCAATGCCAGCCGCTACTTCAGTGGTTGGCACCCCATGGACTCTGGAGTCGCTGATCCAAGCAGCACAACAGGTTGTACAAGGGCAAGCAGGAGTGGGAGAGCACCAGCATGAGACATCGCCTGAAAAAACACGTCCTGAACCACAAGTGCGTGCAATGACTATTAAGGACATACGAGTGTCATCTATGACGGCAACAACCACGGCCCTTCTGGACAGCGGTGCAACACACAGCTTGAGAACGGCAACGGCCCCTGAAGAATGGGAAGAAGCAGAGCCAGTGTCAGTTCAGCTAGCCGGAAGCTGCAGTTTGATGATGCGGATCAATGAAGCGGGGACTTTGCTGATGCCCTGTCGAATGAGCAGGGGTGATGGGAGCGAGGGGCAACCTGGAGGCGCTCAAACCATTGTTCCAATGGGCCAGTTGATAGAGACCCTGGGCTACTCACTGCAATGGACTCCTCAAGCTTGCACGCTAGTTGACCCTGAGGGAATGTCCACTACTCTTCGAATTCAAGGAGGGTGTCCTCAGCTACAGGAGATGGAAGCGCTAAGTTTGATCGCTAAGATCGAAGACCGGAAGCTCGAAATGTTGAGGAACTCTACGTTGACCACTTCGGACGCGCTAAAGGTAACTGCCATGTCTATGAGTTACCAGTGGGACTACTATTTGTTGGATTATGTGAAGACAGGGTGCTTTGATTCAGGTCTTCGTGCTGTACGAGACGCGCCATTCCTGTCGGACCTTCCAGGAGAATGTCTTCATGAGTTAGTTCCCGCAGCAGGTCTATGGAGTGGCTGGGACATAATGAAGAACATCGGGTTCCTGTCCAGACCGCAAAGACGGAAACTTTGGAGCTCAAAGAAGTGGGTGGTTCATCTGTTTGCAGGTGATCCTGGCCATTGGCCAATCTTCAAGCTTGACAGCGGTGAAACAACAGTGCTTGAGTTGGATGTGGCCCGCAATGCTGGACAGAATGTCATGCGAGGAGAAGTCTGGCAGATGTTGTTGTGGGCTGCAAAGGAAGGAAAAATAGATGTAGTCCTTGGAGGACCGCCGGACCGTGCTTCACAACATGCCAAAGGAGGCGCCAGGGATGCAAAAGCCTTGGCGTTAGTGGCAAGAATGATGTGGTTGCATGCCGTGGCCCAAGTTGGACGAGAAGTGAATGGGGGGCCAGTTACGCGTGATCGTGAAGTTGGGTTTGTCCTGGAGTATCCAGAAGGTATGTCTAGGGAAGCTCAAGGTGCAGCAATAGCCAGAGAGAACGCCTGCGAGGATATGACTCGTGCACCAGATGGACAAGGTTCCCCAGCTACGTGGACGCAGGCAACCTGGTTATGGGAGAATGTTCAAGGACCCCGTTGGGAGCGAGCTGCAGGTGCGTCAACAGTAGATGCGAGGATCAGTTTCTGGGATACCAGAATGTGGAAGGCCTACCAAAGGTTGTCGGGTTTTCGGACGGTGTCATTTGATCAGGGCGCCATGGGAGGAGATAGTGTAAACCCAACAACCCTCGGCACCAACATCAACAACCTTCTGTCGTTAGATGAGCTTCGGGTACCAGAGGGGACTGATCTTCCTCGTCATGGACCTAATGATTACAAGTGGGCTCCCGGATTAGTTGATGCAGTTGTTGTGGCCTTAAGTTTTTGGGAGCGAGATCCGCGGTGTGCTCCCCGACTACCTCGACTACAAGCACTTTCTCCAGAGCAATGGAAGAAGCACGTGAACAGCAACCATGCGGACTATAGACGAGATTGTGCTACATGCGTCATGAGTAGGGGTGTGGGACGTCGACATCGTAGAGTTCATCATCCAGAAGCATATGTTTTGACAGCTGACGTAGCTGGGCCTCTATCACCGGGACTAGATCCAACCTCAAAAGGGACCATGGGCAAAAACATCAAGTACATGCTTGTGGCCAAATACTTGGTACCTAAGGAGTTTGTGGAGCAGAAGTGTGGTCGTGTTCCTCCGGATGATCATGGTATGGATTCTAGTGATTCTAGTGGTGCAAGGGCTGATAAGGACACTGCTGAAGATGAGAAGTTCCAGGATCCGTTCGACCTAAACGCCATGGACGGGGAGCCTGAGGACTATGACGCAGAGATCACTCAGGTACCCGATGGAGCTCCGTTGAATATGGTGGTCCAGGAGGAGTTGGAGTATGAGCCATCTCTTCCCCCAGATGAGGAACCGGACGATCGAGGAGGAGAACCCCCAGAAGAACTTGACGATGATGAGCGAGTGGCACCTATAGATATGGTTATGTCAGGAGGAGTTTGCAAACCCCCTGAGATGACCTACTTGACCTTCGGAGTGGGACTGGTGAATAACCAGGCCAAGACGATCAAGACTGCGGTTCAGGACATTGTGCTGTACCTGGAGATGCATGGGTTTCAAATTTATCGGTTCCACTCGGACAAGGGGGAGTTCTTCAATCACCAGTTTAGAAGTTGGTTGAGGGATCAAGCGATTTACGGCACGTGGTCGGAACCGGGTGTACCTCAAAGCAATGGCCAAGCAGAGTCAACGGTTCGGTGGGTGAAGGACAGAGCAAGGACCTTTTTACAGGCGTCGTCGCTCCCAACCAGGTTGTGGCCTACAGCGGTGGCGGCAGCTACAGCGGAGCAGCGGGCGAAGGTGCTGGGGTGGAAAAGTTACCTTGCAGCTCCGTATGGAGCCCCTGTGGTGCTAAAGAAGAAGGCCTTTGACAAGCACGGACCACTACGCCGTGAACAAGGACTTGATACAAAGTGGTTGAAGGCAAGGTACGCGGGCCTCAGCACAATACTTCATCACGGTCATTTGGTCTATATCCCAGCCAAGGATGGTGAGCGGGAGAAGTTTCTCCACACCCTTCACGTGCGCCCCAACTTGATAGATCCAGGAGAACCAGACATTGAGTTGGAGGCAGATCTTCCAAAACCGAGGAGGAGATTGAGTCATAAGTCACCAATGGAGGAGATTCAGTTGAGGGGGATCCGCGTAAAGGACCAAGAGGTTATGGAGCTCGCGACGGGCAAGGCCAAGGAGATTGTGGAGCATTGGGATGTGGAGAGGGCGAAAGCTTTAGTTATTCAGCTTGCCTACAACGACTTCTTCAATGAGGTGAAGTTTGGGGTGTTTCGTCACGGGGGAGCCGTGGGCTGGATGAAGGGCTTTAATGAATTCCCAGATCTAGCAAAGTTGCTAGCGAGGATCGTCACCGATGAGATTCCAGAGGCAACCTTCACTTCTGTGCTGATCTCCCACAACACGCTTCGAACCCTACATAAGGACCTCAACAACGACTCCAAAACCGACAACTACGTGATTCCTCTCCTCATACCTCGTCGAGGAGGAGAAGTATGGGTTGAGCTTCGACCAGGTGACACCGTGAAGGGCACGATTGAGCAGAGGAAAGTGAATGAGCGCGAGATCTATGGGCACTTACATCCACTCGAGGAGGGCAGTTATATCAAGTTTGGTCCAAGGAGGTACCATGAAGTTAACGAGTGGGAAGGCGACCGGATCGTGCTGATTGCATACTCTCCTCAGTGTCTTGGGAAGCTTGGTCAAGCTGAAGTTGAGCTATTACATGAACATGGCTATGCAGTACCTTTGTCACAGCTTCCAGAGTACTGTGGTGATGACGAGATTGACCCTGTTCTGCCGCATGTAAGGAGCATGGAGTTGGAAACCACAGAAGAGAAGAATGATTGTGATCCGGAGTGGTCAATGTATTTGGACCTAGAACCCGGGGCAGTCAAGATCGCGGACTCCAGTACATCACCTTTTACAACTCCGCTGATGGCGAAGACGGAGGTGAGCTACACCAACAACATCGAGGGAGTGCTGAGCTCTCTAAAAGGGCCGCTAGATGTTACGCACACAGTGAGGCCTTCAGAGGTGATACCCAATTTGGAGTTGTGGCGTCCGGCGATTGAGAAGGAGATGCGCAACATTGAAGTAGCAATAGAAAGGCTGGTTCCAGGCTCAGATCTACGGCGTCAGTGGCTGAATAAGCCTGGAGTACAGAGGCTACCAATGAAATTCGTGTTTACCGTGAAGCCCAACGACCAAGCTATAGCTTCAGACCCGACGACCTGGTTCAAACGTAAGGCGAGGTTGGTTGTTTGTGGAAATATGGCAGAAGATAGCGGAGCTTCTGTATACACAGAAGCTGCACCTGCCGAAGCAGTCCGCGCGGGATTGGCTGTGACCGTGAAGAATGCCTGGTCCATTGCGGTCCTAGATGTTGTTGCAGCCTTCCTCAAAACTCCAATGGGGAGAGCCAGAACAGATCCCATTGTGGTGGTACAGCCACCGAGACTTTTGGAGTTGATGGGGTTGGTCACGAAGATGGAACTGTGGGCCCTGATAAGGGCATTGTATGGACTACGCCAATCTCCAGCTTTATGGGGAGACTTCCGTGACTACACATTACGGACCGTTAACCCTCCAAAGGGATTGAAGCTACAGCAAGGACGAGCGGCTACAAGTTGGTGGCGACTCGTTGACGAGAACAACTGCATGGTGGCATTGGTTCTTGTGTATGTGGACGATTTCCTTTTGTGTGGCCCACGGGAGATCATTCGCAAACTAGCAGCATGGATTCAGGAGTTTTGGGACACGTCGGAGCTTAAGTTTCTACTTCCTGGCGCATCAGCGCGATTTCTTGGAATGGAGCTGTACGTGGACGAGAACCACCCAGAGGAAATAAGAATAGGCCAGCAAGGTTATGTTCAAGAACTACTACGACTTCATCAAGTGCCAGAAACACAACTTGACAAAGTTCCGGTGACGAAGGAACTGGTCGCAGACAGAGAACCGCAAAGTCCTCCGACCAAGGAGGACATCCACATGGCGCAACAGCTCACGGGAGAAATTCTGTGGGTTGCTCAAAGAAGCAGGCCGGACTTGGGATTTACCACATTGATAATGGCCTCCCTTTGCTTACGACAACCACAACAAGCTATAGAAATAGGCCGGAAAGTTCTTGGATACCTACAGAGGACGCTGAAGTTCCAGCTGAAGGTCGTGAAGGGGAGTTCTGGCCTAATCATGTACTGTGACGCAGCATATGCACCTCAGGGAACAAGATCGCATGGTGGTTGGTTGGTAATGTACAATGGAGTTCCAATAGTGTGGAGAAGTGGCCGGCAGCAGATGATTACCTTGTCGACGGCGGAGGCTGAGTTGTTGGCGATGATTGATGGTGCAATAGCTATGAAGGGAGTGGAAGCTCTGTTGATGGATGTGAACCAAGTGGTGGAGGAGAAGACCATTGCTTCGGACAGCATGTCAGCTTTGAGTATCTCTTCGGGTTCGAGCTCGTGGAGAACCCGGCACCTAAAGATCAAAGCAGCATGGCTTCAAGAGCAGATAGCATATGGGCAGTTTACCACAGTACATTGTCCAGGTGAGCGGCAACCAGCAGACCTGTTGACAAAGCCTTTGAGCAGTACAAGAATAGTAACATTGTTGTCCTTGTGGAGTATTGTGGAAGAAGTTATGTATGCCATCTCGCGCATTTCAGTTCCGGCACGAACTTCCAGAATGGCGGTTGCTATGATATGCTGCTTATTGGTGGTGTCTGTTAAGGCTGCAGATGCATCACCAATGCCAGGAGTTCCCAGCGGGGACATACAGCTGGATCGAGATCTGGTTGGCACGCTCATGTTGCTACTCATGCTGCTTGGTGGACTTCTTATATGGGAGGCAGTAAAATGGGCATGCGTTGAAGCTTATCAAGAATTGGTTCCTGGAGCACAGCAGCGACGACTACGGCGTCTGCGAAAAATTCAGGAGGCTACTACTGAAGCGATAGAAAGGGAGCTGAACCGTATGGCCCAGGAGGAGCAGCGTGAAGCATCATCTTCTTCGTCAAGTGCGAGGAGGAGATCTACAGCGAGATCTACTACAACACCTACAAGGGAGAGGACCACTTCGAGATCAACTATGACACCACCTCGTGAAGTACCTAGGGAAGTACCTCGTGAAGTACCTAGAGAAGTACATCGTGAAGTACCTAGGGAAGTTCCTTTTTGAAGTACCTAGGGAAGTGCCCCGTGATGTTCAGCGAGAACAATCGGAGTATCCTACGCAGGTTCTGGGGAGGGCGGAGGTGCCAAGCTCGTCGAGTGGTCAGCCGGTTAGACAGACGCTAAGGACTCCAAGCCCTGCTCGACGATCAGCGCAAGTGTTTGCATCTCCGGGAACTATGTCCGGGAATGCTGGCGGTGAGAGCGTGGACGAGAGTCTTAGAGTTTGTGAAGATGTATGCAAACTTATGACGTGTGAGTTCTTGAAGGAGGGCTTGCGTACAGAGGGGCTTATGGTTTCAGGCCTCAAGGATGATCAGGCAAGGAGGCTTGGTGCTCGGCTTCAGCAGCTGCAGTCGCTGCCAAACGGGCCGACGAATCGCCAGCTTCGATACATATTGTGGTTATGGCGCCAAAAAGATATGGCAGGACGCCATAGCCTGCGATATTGTGAAGTGAACGACAGATCACGTATATCTGATCTGCCCTGATCAGCGCTTGGTCAAGGCGCTAGACAGTCACATCTGGCGACAAGAGTGAGGAGGAGTGCAGAAAGCCAAGCTCTGCCCAGGTCAGTTGTGATGCCGCTTACGCTCCGCGGCATGATGCTCATTAGGGTTGGCTACGAAGTAAACCCCTTGGGCTTTGTATGCGCTTGCAGTTGCAACAGACATCAACCATGTACAATTAGATGTCAGAAACTGCCACAAGCTTTTAGCATACAGCAGAGATGTTTCGCGAACAAGGAGAAAAAGAATCGGGAGTCGCCATGGCTTAAGCCGTTTGCTGCATGCCTGGGCTTCCGCAAGAACAGCCAGCACAAGCTGTTCAGCAGGTTTAGGGTTTAGGGTTTAGGGTTCAGGTTTAGGGTTTAGAGTTTAGGGTTTAGGGTTTAGGGTTTAGGTTTAGGGTTTAGGGCTCAGGTTTAGGGTTTATAGGGTTTAGGGTTTAGGGTTTATGGTTCAGGTTTACGGTTTACGGTTTAGGGTTCTTTTCGCGCTTCAGGGTTTAGGGTTTGCCGGCTGAATATGATTCCAGGATCGGAAGTTAGGGTTAGGCACTTTGTTTCAAGATACTGGGCGGGCGTAGGCTTCCGAGCTGGATGCTTCAGACAATAACAGCAGCTTGCATGCACATACAAGATATCTACAAGCCTCTCATACTACATCCTAAACCTGTAAACTCCAATAAAAGCCTCAATAAATGCTAAACTCCTCGTATCTACCTTGATGATCCCGAAACACTCAACCCGAAACTCAAGGAATCCTAAACCCAACGACACTGAACCCAACGAACCGCAGCAAACCTAAGCACAACCCTAAGACCCAAGGAACCCCCATGGTAAAGCCCAGAAAAGTGGAACATGGATTTAGGATGATTCTGCTGGAATCCCCTGCACTTCAAGGGCATGAGGATATTGATGTTCCAATTTTCTGGCTTCTATGGCAAAGAAACCCTAAGCCCTGAACCTTAAACCTGGGGGGTTTTGGGACCGTCGTAGAAGATTTTGGGCCAAGAGCCTCAACGGAGGCATCCTCTGGAGATTTCAGAAGGCTTGACTGGCGAATGGCGCAATGTTGCGCGTTCATCTCCAGCCTAAAGGGGTTGAGTAAGGCTTTAGGGTTTAGGGTTATGAGCAAGGCGTTAGGGTGAAGGGTTCAAAGTTCCCAAGTAATTTCGAAGTCTAAACTCTGAAGCGTAAGGGGTTTAGAAACAAAAAAGGAAACCTGGGGTGCTTACAAAGCAACAGAAAAGGAAGCGTAGGCTTGAGGATAGGGGTTCAAGGTTTCTAGGATGCCCAGAAACCTAGGAAGAAAAAGGGCTCCCTTTTTGGTATTGGGTAACTTTAGAAAGAACCTAGGACTACAAAAAGTGAATAAGGGCACTACGAGGCATCCTAGGTTTAGAAACCATAAGGAAGCTTAGGGTGGAGGATTTAAGGCTTGAGCTGGTTTGAGGATCTTGGGCTTCGGGTTTAGGATTTAGGGTTGTTTTTTAAGGGTTTAAGGTTTAGGATTTAGGGTTTAGGGGTTTAGGATTTAGGGTTTAGGGTTTAGGGGTTTAGGGTTTAGGGGTTTAGGGTTTAGTGTTTAGGGTTTTGAGCTTTAGAGTTTTCTATACCCCCCTTTAGAACCACAATAACAATAACATGTTCAATATTCTCTTGGGTTCTCTATGAACAAAAATAGAAAAAAGTTTCTAAGGAGACTACAGTTATGGGATTGGGGCATGGGGTATGAAAAATTATGGGGCTCGCCGCTTAGGACTAAGGCCGACTGGGGTCTGGGCTTAGACATGCTAAACTGGGTTGTGCTTTAAACCTTCTGAAATTATTTCTGAATAGGTTCCCTTTATAAGGAAATAAGGGAAATAGAAAATTATCCCAAAGCACAACTCAGTAAATTAGATTGTCCACACGGATCCCAGCAAGCTTGAGGTTATGAACAAACGCGTTCTGAATCAGCGGTCTCCTGAGTTGCAAATATTCGGGTCTTGGGGGGTTACATGTCAGGATTTAGGAATTCAGAGCTTCTGGGTTTCATCGGTTTAGAGAAGGTCTTGCTGGCCAGACTGGTGGGTAATTCTGTTCTCGAGAACGGGTTTCTAGGAAGGTTTGTGGAATCGATGGTCGGTGGTGCTCCGCAGGTTTGAAGCTGCAGGATTTAGGGCCTTCGGCGTTCATTGGTTCAGGGCTGCACCACAACCAAGTAACCTACACATCCCACAGCGGGTTGCCAGCCTTCACCCTTCACTAAACCCCTTCAAACGGGAGTTTCCAAAAATAGGGGTACCCCATTTTGGGCTTCTATTCAGGGTACTATATTAGCGAACACTTCCAAATAGCCTAACCTCAAGCGCTGCGTTGTAACCCCAATCCGTAAATCGTGCGCTGTCCTGCATCAGCCGAGAACCCTCAAACACTTTTTGCCTTAAGCCCTAAAACCCTAAAAGCCCTAAAGCCCTGTATAAACCCGGAAAGCCCTAAACCTGAACAACCTAAATCCTGAACTCGAAGCCAAAGGCTCAAACCCAGTGCAAAGAAGCGGCCGCTTCTTCTTCTGGGCATCTTTGGTGTGCGATGCCGCGTACAAGAAGTATCTGGGTTCGGGTTTTGAGGGCTTCATGGTCCCGTCTTCAGCAGGGGCGATGAGCTCTGTGTTGGGACGCTTCTTGAGGCTTTCTATGGGACCGATAGGGTCTTCGCTTGCTGTACAGGTCTTTCGAGGAAGTCGAGGACTTTGCAATCTGAATACATTGGGAGGCTCGGTTCGCGCGTGGCTTCCAGACAGCCCAATACCCCTTAATTAAGGAATATAGCTTAAACCATAATATGAAGCCCTACATACTTGAAGGCATATTCCTCAATTAAGGAGTATTGGGCTCTCTGGGCATTGGGGATGTCGGCTAAGGCTGTCGGCATCAAAGCTTTATTTGGAGGCCCAGGGGACTTAGTAAGTAGGCTATAGGTAAGGGTGTAGTTGGGGTAACTCCATTTAGGGTACTCATAACCCTACTTATAACCCACTTACTAAGTCCTCTGGGCCTCTAAGTAGTGCTGCTGGTTTTGAAAGTGTCAGCAAGTACGCATGCGTAAGGGCTAGGGGTTTTTCTGGGATTGAACCTGTATCTCAGTGTTCCAAAGTGGCTTAGGTTATATATAGGGATTCAGGTTTAAGATTTCGGATTTGACTTTTAGGGTTTAGGGCTTAGGCTTGGGGTTTAAGGTTTTTGTGGTTTGGGTGTTAAGGTTCATGTTAAATTTGGGCTTAGGGACAGGGTCTTCTTCAGCCTTCGATCGATTTTTGAATCTCGCCTCAGGCTTCGGACTGCAAATTTGCAGGGCTTCCGAGGCAATGTGTCTAGAACCCAAACCCAGAGAGCCCAATACCCCTTAACTAAGGAATATGGCTTAAATCATGGGCTTCATATTATGATTTAAGCCATATTCCTTAATTAAGGGGTATTGGGCTCTCTGGGAAACCCGAAACAGGGCTCTTGTTGCGAAATTCGACGTAGGTTGCCACAATGCAGAACCCTACGAACTTTACCATAGATCCTTATTCTGGCAGCTACAACTGGATTCCTTGACAAGAACCCAGTAGACCTGACCGGCAAACCCGATGGACCCAGATCTCACCAGACCAGCCCTTGTCTTGAGTGCAGGGTTTGAGGTGTTAGGGGTTAAGGGGTTTATGGGCTGATCTACTCTCAACCACCTTGTTTGATCCATCTTAAACCGTGGATTTGTCAACATCAACCCTCAGAAAACTGTATAAACCGCCCTTATCGTCGATAATGCTCTTCTGAAGTTCTCCCGAAGCCCTAGAAACCCTCTAAACCCTCTAGACCCTCTAAATCCTAGACAACCCTAGACCGCCCACAGCGCGGCGCATGCCTCATCTTGGTGTCGATGTCCTCCATGTACTCCTCTGTCTGGTGCTTAGCAGGGAATGGGGGAATGGATCCCTATGACAGTTTCTTAAGGTCCCCTATAGTAGTCCCAATAACGCATTCCCCCATTTCCTACTAAGAACCAGACAGTAAAGGACGCCTTATAGATCCCTTTATAGGATCCCTTATAGGATCCCTTTCAACGAACCCTAAGGCCATTCCCCCCATTCCCGAAGAACCAGTCAGTCCTTCTGCGAGGGCTCATCCAGCGAGCCGTAGTAACTAGGCCAGGTCTGACTGAAAGCTTCGGCGTTTTGGGGGGCTCGGTTAGGCTTGTAAACCGTTAGGGCATAGGGTTTGGGTTTTGGGTTGGGGTTCTTAAAGTCGTGTTGTCCATGATGGTTGTTAAGAGGCGTTAAAGGGTTCTGGATGCATTTTGAAGGTTTTGTTCGGGCTTTTCGAAGGCTTCAACGAGTTTAGGCCGTTCTCGTTGAGGGTGTTCAAAGGTTAAGGCTTTCAGGGCCAGAAGTTTGGCGCTCAGC